GAGAGAGAGAGAGAGAGAATACGAATAAAAAGCCATTAGAAGTATGTACTGGTTCTATACCAGTGTTGATTACAAACTAGATGTGTTTGGTGCCAGCACAACTTGAACAAAGAGAAAACCCACAAACAAACAAACAAACCCACCATCATAATTAAGATTAAACAAAACAAAAAAAAAACCCTTAAAGGAAAGGTCCAAGGCAGATTCAAGATCAAGACCTTTTACAGAATTTCTTAAAAAGAAAAAATTCATTTATTTAAACAGTATGTAATTTTATTTCCTCTTAAAAACAGCATAAGCAATTAAATGTTTTCTCATAAAATTTTGAGTCATCCAAAATGGCTCAGTCTCTGTATAAAACTGTTACTACTCAACAGTTCATTTTAGTGCCACACGGCGTCCTTCTGCTCCACTGCCTGCAGTTGAAACAAAAGCAGCCAGACAAGTTCCCTCTGAATTCATTTGATTTTGAGAGAACCAATGACTGAGAACAGAACATATACAAGTTAACTTTGTAAAGTTAAAGGTGACTTTAATTTCTAATCTACTAATGGCACTATGGGCAAAATATAGGGTACAGTATAACTTTCATCTTGGTTGACATATTATAATTCCTTAGTCACTTTAAAAATGATCCAAACAATTGTCTTAGGGAACCTGTTTTGAAAATGCAACTAATTTATACTGCTTCATAAACAGAAAATTACTCTTCTTTTAAAAAAGGAATGATTTTTTAAAACATAAGAAAATAAGGAATACACATGATAGTGGTACTCTGGGTGCAATGGCACCAAGAAGCAGTGCTTGGGTCTGTGAGCAAAGACCCAGGACCCAAGAACATGTTCCAGAATGTGCTATCCAACGCTTCACAACGAGGAAAAGCCACAGCTCATACAAAAGCATTTTCATAAAAGTCTCACAAATGTTAGTTTTTAAAAAATATAAAAGATGCACAGATTTTCTCTGCATGCACAGGCAGTGCTTGGTGAGAACAAATTTAGGCAGGCACAGTGGAGACAGAACAGAAAATGTCTCAGGAAGAACTTAGAAGCTGTACCTAAACAGCTGTAAATTTTTAACTTAAAAAGTTAAAGATTTAAAAATACCAAAATGTACATCTGTCAACTATCCTATTCAGTCCACAACTGCCCACAGATCAGCTCATCTGTCCTGGTAGGAAGTTTCCATAGAAATCCAGGAATTCATACATAAGTTGCCTCTGGTCCAAGAAAATATCCCAAGGTCTAAGCAAACTTACATTTAAAGAGTAATGTTCTCAATTTAAAAATAAAGTAGTACAAAAGGGCTAACAAAACCCTAACAGTGCAAATCACTGCAGAGAAAGTCTGTTGCAACTTTGTTACCAGCTGGCTTTCAGAACATAGGACACAGGTTAAAAAAAAACAAAACAAAACAAAAAACAAAAACAAAAAAACCTTAGCTTACAACTGTTTTCAATTTTTTTAAGTACAAAATTTCATAAATCATGTCTTCTGTGGATCATATACAATCATAAAGACTAAATTCAAACTATCATTTTACAAACAAGTCTGAAAAAAAAAAAAAGGAGTACAGTCTGGAAGAGTGGTCTCGGGTATGACTACTGGCCTCAGACAACAGTGCTGTGATTTCTGTGCAAACAGCACACTGCTCACAAATCCTATTTCAAGGCATGACAATATACATTGGAGAGAAGAAACAGGAAAATTACTGGTAACAAATTAAAAGATAGGTGTAAACACACCAGTCCCTGTCTAGCAGTATATAAAGCATACTGGGCTCAGAATTTGTCTGTTGCTAGCACCTGGCTTTCATACTATATCCTTTATCAAATAATCAGACTGAAAATTCAAATGATCATTGAGAAAAATCCCTATTGGCCATACCTCACTCCCCTATATTCAGATTTTCATGAGTTTACAAGTAAATCTGAGGTCTTCTGAAAGTACTTGACTACCTCCTGCCAGGAAGGTGAATGCCATTAACTTGGGGCAGGAAAGGCAGTAAGAGCTCCAATTGTGCAAAAAGTGAGAAGTGGTCGGAGGGAATAAGTGGATGTGGGCAGCCGCTGATATTATTTTCAACTAGCCAATGGTGGTCCAGAGGTCCCAGGATGGCCAAAGTATTCAGCTGAGGTTTAGAATAGAAGATGTAGTCAATTATACCCTGAAAAACAACGATAAAAACGGTTAAGGCCTAAGCATAAAAACACGAAAATCACAACTTTTTCCAAAGACATATCCTTAGAAGTCATATTTGGTAAACAAAAACAATTTGCTAGCTTGAAGAAACAAGCCCCAGCACCACACAAAAACCAGAAAACAGCCAGGCACTTGTGGCATACGCCTTTAACCCCAGCACTCAGGAATTAAACTCTGTGGGTTTGAGGCCAACCTGGTCTATAAGAGCTAGTTCCAGGACAGCTCCAAAATTTCAGAGAAACCCTGCCTCGAAAAACCAAAAATAAATAAATAAACAGAAAACAAACCCGTCAAAGTCAAACTCAACAGAATCAACCCAGTTGCAGCAGGCTTTCTCAGACTGCCAGCCCCCAAATCACGACACAGTTATGAGTGTTTGGCCTTAATTTATGCTCATTTCTAGCTAGCTCTTATAACTTAACCTAATCTGTTTCTCTTTATGTTTTGCCTCGGAACTTTTTACTTCTTTCATTCTGTATGTTCTATTTTCCTGCTTCCTCCATATCTGGCTGGCCCCTGGCCATCTCCCTCTTTTTCTCCCTCTCACTCCTTCTCTCCCAAGTATAGATTCCCCCTCCTAGCCCTACCTATCCCTCCTCTGTCTAGCTATTTGTTGTTCTGCTTTTTATTAGACCAATCAGGTGCCTTAGGCAGGCAAGGTGAAACAGCAACATATCTTTTCATAATTAAACAAATGCAACATATCTTTACAGAGTTAAAACAAATATAACTGATAGGAGAGTTCAGCCATTTTGTTATATGTTTTCTGTTTAATACTGTTTGTAATTTTATATTTATTATTTGTTTCTATTGTATATAGTTGCACTTGGTTTTGTTCTGTCTTATTTTAGAAAAAAGGGGGAGATGATAGGGGAGTTCAGCCAATCACATTCTGTCCATGGGGTGTGTTGCCCTAAGGCAAAAATTTACCTATAAACCTGGCGGGTGCACTTCCCCTAGTTCTTTCTCGCCTGGCTCCTGCATTTGGATGGATTGTTGGGATTCTGGTGTAAGTCTTCCTTCTGTTTATTAAAGCTGTATATTTTATATTAAGCTAGTCTGGCGGACCATTAATTACCGATCGCACCGCGCCCCATCATATAACACATTTTTATATAGTTAAATATTCTACCCCACAACCATCAGTCCTGTTTCAATAAGCTCTTTCCTAACAACCTACACATATATTCATGTTCTTCCTGTCACCTGGCTAACTCCTTACCAACCATCAAACCCTCCTAAGTCCTGCAGTCACTTCTTAATAACCTCCAGCACTGCTCTCTTCCCTTGCTAACACCCACACTAAGGTGTTAAGAACATACTCACCTATATGGCTGAGACTGACTATATAACCTTATTAAATGTTCCCACAAAGATGTTAAAAGGTTTGGTCCCCCAAGTAGTACTACTGAGAGATGCCAAGAACCTTCAGGAGGTAGAACCTTCTGGGAAGCCCTTAGGTCACCAGAAGCACACTCCTAAAGAAGACTATGGAAGCCCAGGCTCTCCTCTTCCTTTATCAGTTTTCCCTTGCTGGCAACTGAGGTGAACAATTTGCTGTCAAATGCTCCCACTATGATCCTCTGTCCTAGTACGGAGGCCCACAGCTAGAGCACAACTTGATTATACACAAGAACCTTTAAAAACGAGAACCAAAAACAAACAAAAAAGATAATCAAGATAATCATCACAAGCATTCTGTTAAACTAATGAAGCTATCTGATATGAGGTATGCTTTTTTAAGCTAAGTGTGGTGATGTATACTGTAATGCCATCACTTAGAAGGCTAAGAAGACTAAGAATTTGAGCAAGTGTGGGTTATGTGGCATGACCGTCTCAAACAAAAAATGTCTTTCCCATTTGATCAAGTGCAGGGCTATGTCTGTTTTGCACATCTTCAGAAGTGTAGGGTACATCTAGCACACAGGAATCAATCTGCTGATTTGGTGGTCTCTCCTCCATTAACTTCACCCTCCTTTCTCAAGTGTTTTTGCTTAAGACACTAAAGCATAAGCAAATGTCTATCTTTGCAACAGCAACAGAAATGGGGGAAAACAATTTCTTTTCTATGTTGGTCACTACCCTTATCTTCCTATTTATCAATCTGCCTAAGAATCTAAACCATTATCAGTACAAAAATGACAGTCACTGAGAAAAGGTGGCTGCAAGCTGTTAACTGTGTAAGACAGCACATAACATACTTTGGAAACCAGGGCTAGGAACAAGCTTAGAAGAACACTTGCCTAGTAAACACAAGACCTTGGATTCAATTCCCAGCACATAACACACACACACACACACACACACTCCAAAAAACAAAAACAAACAAACAAACAAACCCCTACAACTACAGGGCTGGCAAGATGGCTCAGTGGGTAAAGGCATTTGTCACCAAGCATGACAACCTACGTCCAATCCCCAGGGGCCCACCCACATGATAGAAGGAGAGAACTGACTCCTCCAAGCTGCCCTAACACTAACACAAGCACTGTGGCAACATAAGCACCCAAATATATAATAAGTACCCACATATACACAAAATAAGTACTGTTTAACAGTGGTTAAGATGAACCTCATTTTGGCATAAAAAGAAGTTTCAGTTAAGGTGTAACAGAGATAGCAAACTAGACACTACAGTACCAGGTTTTAGTAATTAAGAAATAAACACCAGGATAAAGAATAACCAAGGACTGCTTTGCTGTCATATTTCACCCAACTTCTCACTATGGAAACCATTTGACTAACACCAATCACATGATTGTCTATGGAAGAGCAACGACATTTTCTGTTAGTAAGTTAAGGCTGCTCAGTTCCAGTCAGAACATACACTGGTGTTTACAACTTGAGAAGACTTGCTGATAAAAATGGTTTTGAAAGCTTACCAATAACAAGACATACCTTGAAATCAAATGTGTAATTCGTGTAAGGCATCAGGCCATTCTCATAGGCACTCTTTAACTTGAAACCATGAGTGATCCTTCCATTGGTCATACCATTCTTCCCGTTACAGCTGAAGTTTGTAAGACTTTCATTGTACCTCAGTTCCTTAAAGTCTTTATGATTTGTCTCTACCCCACCAGTGCTCAAATACTCTACAACACCTAAACAAATGGAAATGCACTTTTATTTGTCAAGCATATTACAGCAAATAAAATATAAGTTTTATATAATTTCAGTACCCAAAAATTTAAATTTTGGTTTGTTTAAAACCATCTGACAAATAGATGTGTCCTCCCAAATCCTTCAATGGTTTTATATAAACGGTTGGCTGGAATATGACTGCTAAACTCTAGGTTATTTCCACTTTTCAAAAAAGAGTTAAAGGGGCTGGAGAAATGGCTCAGTGGTTAAGAGCACTGACTGCTCTTCCAGAGGACGTGAGTTCAATTCCCAGCACCCACATGGCAGCTCACAACTGTCTAAAGATCCAGTTGCAGGGGATCTGACACCTTCACACCAATGCACATAAGATAAAGTTAAATAAACCATAAAAAATATTTTTTTTTTAAAAAAAGAGTTAAAGATAACATCACAATCAAAAAAGTATGCAGGATTCTTCATATCCTAAATTATCTACAGGGTTATGCAACTCTTTTGGGTTTTATGTGTTATCACACTACCAAATTATGGAACAGAATGCCACCAAGTGAGAGAGCAACCTTACTATTTTCTTAAATTCTCAATCATAAAGTAGGCTCTACAAACATTATTATTACATTACTTAGCAAGATGGGACATTTCCCCACAATGCTATCAGAAATCTTCCCCCATCCCTCCAATACTTTGCAGATAGAGGGTAGAATAGCATATGGAGAAGTTGCCAGAGAATCCTCAGCTGTTCAGCAGCAGTGATCCCCAGACAGCTTGATGACATGGGGCAATCTCAGGGACTTTTTCCTGCCCTTGAAAACAAATTTTAAGTTTCTTCTTCATGGCTCTATCTACTAAGATAGTAATAATATATTATCAAATTCGACTATCAACATGATGGTGTACAGTCAAGGCAAGAAAGCAAGTCCAAAAGCATCATGTGTTAAGAATACAATCAAAGAGCTGGAATATAGATGGAATATAGTTTGCTACTGACAGGGCTCTGGTTTATTCTCTGTACTATCTATAGAAAAGCATTTAAAATCAAACAGGCTTTCCATTCCTTCTTTCCAAATCCTTCTACTTCATGGCAAAAATCAAGAGCCTGGCTTTTGATAAAAGGTCCTAATTTCTACCTCAGATGTACTTTGTACTTTTTATAAAAGTCATCAGAAGAAACACAATTTGGGATTCTGTAACATATTTTTGGTCAAATTTAACTGTGATCTTATATTACCATAGGTTGGAATCCCAAAGAAGTTATCTTAACAGCTTTTTAGCATCTGGATTATAAATGTCTTTGGGCATATTTAAAACAAAACACAGAAAAAACGAGCAATGCCTATCATTAGTCCCCTAGGTTTCTATGCTCTTCCCCCTTCACATCTTATTAAAAAAAAAAAAAAATTGTAAAACCCATTCACCGATGCCACTACAAAATCAATTTTCCTCTAGACTAAATTCTGAATTATCAAAAGAATACATTACAGGGCTGGTGCAGATTCTTGTCCTGAAAGCCTGATTACCTGAGTTCTATCTTCTGAACTCATGTAAGGGGAGAATCAATTCCCCTTTAGTTGTTCTTTGATCCCCATGCAAACTTTGACATGCTCATACATTTGTGCAAGTGTTTAGTATACATGCAGTTATACTAAGTGTTTATAAAACACAGAAAAACTTCAGTTAAAAAGTAGCGATTTCATATAAAATATTACTTTTCTCACCAGAGTCTGGCAAAGAATTCAGATCTGCACATAATACAAGCGGAATAGTTCCACATTCTCCCAATACACTGGATTTGAGGTTCCGAGAGGCTTTATCAATAATATTCTTCACTTCGGAGAGGAACATCATAGTTTGTACCAACTTCACATCTGAATATTCAGGGTCCCAATGCATATGAGCATTAGCCACAAGAATAAGTTGTTTTTCTGTTCCCAGATGTGGTTTTCCAGCTATGTAGATTTAAAAACAAACAAATAAACAAACAAAAAAATCTGCATTGGTCTATAGTTTCTTGCAGCATCTGAAAGTACGTGAAATTTCTCAAAAGAATCTAAAATGTATCTAGTGATTTCCTACTCAATCAATGAATCCCAAGAATTCTATCTCTAAATCTATTTGATATATCCAGCAATAAAGCCTACTTGGACAGAGACAGTCCATGAGGTATTTCTAGATCTCCTAAAACAAATCTCTCAGATTTGAATCTAAATTCTCTTAGATATATACTTTTTAGCAGTTACTAATTCTTTGGCTTTTGGGGTTTCTGTTGAACTAAAAAGACTGAGTCCAGCTTTGTGCAAGTACTGCACTAGCACACAATTCCCAGTCACTAGGTTTTATCTTTTATTTTTATCTTTACAATAATATCCCACATTCCACAATAAGTGATGGAAGTTTCAGTTCTCAGCATCCAAGTCACCATATACATACTAATAATTTTTAAAAAGTAGTCACCTTCCTCAAATTCAAGACCCTTAACATAATTAGTATAAATCAGTCACGGGAAGACTGACATAAAACGTTAGCTTTACCAAACACCCTTGCTGACATGAAACCATGAAGCATATGGAATTCTTATCCCTGAACAGTTATTTCAATTACTATTTACCTCCATATCTCACAAATATCTTTTTATCTTTATGCCTTTCCAAGGCAGTAACTTTTCTGGGCAATGACTTTTCATCTTTACCTTTGAACTAAAGAAAAAGATGTATGATATTTTAGAAAAGAAAAATACTGACTTTCTTTACGTGTTAGATCAGACCATTAAATGTATAGTGAGATTTCGGCTTGAAGATATCTTATCAGAACTACTAAACTGGTAGGGATGGGGCTCTCAATTTTACAGGAAGTGAAAAAAAAATCACTCACATGACATTTCAATTAATTCCTTTCGAAGTTCTAGCAGTACAGCAACTCCAATGTTATCTTTTGTCATGACTCTGTTCAGCATAGCTTCAGACCCTTCTGAATTCGCCATTGCTAGTTGGTTAAATTCAACAGTGTGTTTCTGAACCAAAGTAAATCTGAAACGAAGCACAAATATGTAATTGGGAATGTGTTAGTTCCAAGGGAAATGTCTTTCTTCCAAACTTCATTACCAAATAAAGACACTTCAGTCATACTGTGGGAAATCCTCCATAGTACCAAGCTTCCTATATTCATTGAAGGTTGTTTCTAGTCTAACTTGGCTTGTTTCTTCTGTGGTACTGAGCATCAAGTCCAGGGTCTTGTGCATGTTAGGCAAATCCTCTACCACTAATGTATATCCACTGATCCTAAACACTGATGTATACCGCCAGGCCTTAAAGTTGTTTTTAATCTGTTCCTGATAAAACCTGGAAATACCTTTACAATATAATATAGTATAGTCAGTCATCCTTACCATTAGTGTTGGAATATTTCATTTCATAATTTTTAAACAATTATCTTCCAAAGCATAGGTTTCCGAGAGGGAATTTTACTTATATATATTTCAATAAGCAGTTGGAATTAAAAGCCCTAGTAAACCACCCTAAAAAACAGTAGCACTTTCAGTATCCCCCCCAAAACAAGTTATTTCAAACAAAAAGACCATTTAAACTTTAAACAGTTGTGTTTTCTTGAATAATATAGCACTTCATTCTCTTATTTGCTAAGTAACTGAGATATCCTTGGCCCCACCCTTCAAATATTGAAGACACTACCTTAAAAAAAAAAACAAAAAATTAGACAGGCTTACTTTTCTGTCTTGAAGAATATTGCACAGCCATCAACATGCTTTCTTTCTTGTTCCGACATCGTCCTAGCTCTAGACTTAGGACTGAAGAATCCATTATAGCCACGTTCTTTCAGTTCTACCAGAAAAAAACTGTAATACTGTTCTGTTTCGACCTCCTGAAAAATCATAACCAGAAAAGTTACTTCAAGGACAAAAATCTGTCCTATATATTAACCCATGTGTACAGTCTGAAATATTTTCTCAAAAGATCACAATATATTAAAGAAAAGAACATTTTCAAAATATAATTTGTCTAAAACCAATTAGAATACTTTATTGCACCAGATGCCAATGCCAGGTAGTTTAGGAGTAAAATGAAAGACATATAGATTTGTCTTAAAACTGATGGAACAAGAAGCATACAAGAAGGAATTACAGTTGTCACATATTTTAATTCCAGACCCATGAAGAGAAACAAATTGACTCAAACTGTGTAAGTTATTATTGTGTAAGTTGGGTTAAAAAAAAAAACCCACATTACTATGCAGACAGTACAATCTTTTTTCCACTTCACCCTAATATTTCTAGTAACAGTGCTGGTAAAACAAGAATATATCCAGATAAAGCCACAATTTTAGTAACTTTGCCATCCAATTCAAATGCAGTATACAGGGACACTGGAGGAAAGAGGAAAGTTACTGTCAATTCTTAAAACCTAGTTAAACCTGTTTTGCTTTATCTGACAGCACAGGGCTGCAAAGCAAGAGTTACTGTTCTCAGAATTCTCCTAAACCAGAAAAGCCTAGGATTTTAAGAGCCACTGAAGCTAAGATTTCAAATATATTAGCATAATAATATATTCTACTATAATTGTTTCTTGTTTTGTCCTGGTTTGAAGGGTCACAGAGTCTTTTGCATGACTTACCTGAAGACTGATAATATCAGCATTGCAGCTCAAGATTTCTTGAATAATGGCCTTTTTCCTGTAGTCCCAGTTTAACGCCCATGACGGACAGTAGCCGTATAACTGCCGGGTCGCATATTTATCACAAAGAACATTATAGCACATGACAGAAAACAAGGCTGTAGGAAAGATAACTGATTCACACACGGCAGAAAAAGACCAATAACCAAAATTACTTCAGCAATAGTCCTCACTATATTTAATCTGATTTCAACCACTCAACCTATAGTTACCAAAAAGCTATTATTTTATGCCAGCTGAGGAGAAAGAAAGAAATATAAGTAATGGAAGTACAAATAAACAAACCAACTAGGATACAATGTGCTTGTATCTACAGAAGCTAACACAGGTTCTTGAGTCTTAATTCGATAAACCAAGACTCCTTATTTTTCTACGCCATTGTTAACGTAGGATGTGGAAACTTGACAAGCAGTTTCCATAACAGGCTGCCCGACTTTCTTTTTCTGACAGAGCAACTACAGACTAACTTGAAGATGGACTGTGAGTTTGGCTCCAGAACACTAAAATAGTAAGTACTCAACAAAGCAAATCACAGCAGTTAATTTTGGGTTCCTGGAGCACAAAAAAATTTTTCATTATAATCTATAGAACAGCACTGTCTTAAACACACAGACTAAGATATATATTTTTTGCCAAAAAAAAAATTTTATTGTCTGAGCTACAGAAAAAAAGGCAATGGTAGATTTTATTGACATGGAGTTGCAACAAAAACCCACAACACATTTTAATTATCTATGAAGTAAAATAATGTAAAGCAACATTAAACAAGATAGCCTGTGTGTTTAGTTATGCAGAAGCAAATCCTGTTAAAAATACCTTGAGAATTAAAGTATTTTTATAAAACTTATTTTGAAATAGATGAGGCCATTAATTCAATGTTTTTCCTCTCAAGTAAGAAAACTATCTTAGACTTTTAATAATATCAAGCACCTTTAGAACACATCAGCACATGGAACCCTCCCATGTGGAAAAATTTTAGTGTATTTATTCAGCAAACCTGATGTAATAGAGGTTAAGTGCTCAACAGTGTCAGTACTGACATTCTGTATGGCTAGGAGGGACTGACTAGATCAGATGTTGCAGGGTATTTAGCTGTGTTCCTGACTTCAATCTCTAGCTTGCAGCAATATTTCTCCCACTTTTAACAATCAGAATTGTCAAAATTGATACATGTTCCCAGAGATAAAACTGCTCCTAGCTAGCCTGGTGGTGGTGGCACGTGCCTTCAATTCAATCCCAGCACTTGGGAGGCAGAGACAAGTGGATCTTTGTGAGTTTGAGACTAGCCTGGCCTACAGAGTGAGTTTCAGGACAGGTTCCAAAGCTACACAGAAAAATCCTATCTCAACACCGTCCCCGTCCCCCAAAAAACTGTTCCTGGCTGAGAAGCAATGTATTACAGAATTAAGTCTTTACCATTATTTCCCAAACTAAATCAACCTATAATCACACTGCCTTCAATACTGTTCAAAATCTAAAGTATGTCAACAATACTTTCAGATTTATCAAGACCTGGTGACATTAATAGTTAAAAAGAAAATAGAGCTACCAACCCGTTGGTCTTGTTCTGTCTGGTTCTTGTAACATGATCCACGATCTTGGAGGTGGTTGTTCTGTTGAAACTGGGTATATATATATATAAAAATAATAATAATTAAGTGATATTCTTACATGTCTTCCTAATAAAAAGTCTAAACAAACGGTCACTTACTTCTTTTTGCAGTACCTGACAAATTATCGAGCAAGTAGTTCAGTAGCCTTCTTGTTCCATCTGGCTCCAGACAGAGGTTCAATATATCTTGGGTAAGTGGATTTCCTGGGGCAATTTTAAGTAGGTAAATTAAGATAATACAATGTTTCAAACTTTAAAAAATTTAGCAAAATAATCACCTAATGCCACAAAAAAATATTACAACACTGTTACATTATAGTTGCTAAAAACTTACCAAATAAAAATATTACTTTTGAAATTTTCATATAAAAATTTCACTGTTTTTTAATTTTCTTTTTTTAAAGATTTGTTTTATGTGTATGGATGTTTTGCCTGCATTTGTCTGTGCATCACAGGCATGCCTATGCCTTTTGAGGCCAGAAGAGGGAACTGTATCACCTAAAACTGGAGTTACAAATGGCTGTGAACCACCATGTGGGTGCTGGAAATTGAACTAGAGTCCTCTGGAAGACTCTTAACAACTGAGTCATCTCTCCAGCCTCAAAATTTGCAGTTTTACAGAAATACTCAAAAAGATGATTAATGGGTTACTGTTAATATACCAGCTTAGTTGGTATACAGCTTAGTTTAGCTGTATCAGCTCTAAACTGGAAGGACATAAAACAACAGCTTTCTCTGGCAAGAAATGAATTTGAACCACTTGTAAAGCTAATGGCTGCTAAAAATTACATATGTAAGTGTGTATTTTTATTTTATATTTATATAAAATAGTTCTTATGATATACCACAGGGACTTATAAGAATATAACCTGATATATACCTTGATTCTGTACCTATCTTTTAGAAATAGGAATGTAACTCTTTATCCAAAGGCCTTCCTTCAGGAGACAGCTGTCTGTCCACACCTGCCCAGACTGGTAAAGAACCAATTACATCATAAAACATGCCCATGTCTTCCCACTGTAAAAAATCTGACTTTGACTCCCGGCTTACGGCACTTTACAATGGTTCCTGCATTATTTGTGCCCTCTTCCCCATTTCCAACACTAATTAAGTATCCATAAATCAACTTCTTTTTTAAAGAAAGAAACCCTCAAAAGCCTAATTTTTAATACCAGGACTAAATCAAAAATTTCTATTTACTGGGGAAATTTTCTCTTACTTTATGGAAAGCTTCACTCTGATTTGAACATGAGGAACAGCTATCTACGACATGATGAGAAAGCATGGTATAAGTCGTGTCTCATCAGGTCAAGACAGCAGAGAGGCTGAGAGCAGAAGAGAGCACAGAGACACAGATGGCCTGGGGTTGGAAGACACAGTCACAGAAATAGAGAACTGCAGCATAGTTAAAGCAATAGAGCATGAGGTAACAACACTGCCTGCCAAAGATCCCAGTAAGAACTCTTGCAGCTTTTTTGAAACTGTAAGGAAAAAAAAAAAAAGAAGAAGAAGAAATCCTACCTTTCAGGCTTAAAGTCTGTAACTGAAACAGTTTTCCCAGCTCAAAAGGTAGAACTCGTAACTGGTTGTAATTTAAATGGAGCTCCCTGTTAATCAAAAATTTCCAGGAAGTCAGAAGACATGTTAATCTTAACCTTAACAGCTAAAATCAACAATGTTATTTCTAGGAAAGTATGTACCCAAGAGTGACAAAGTTTTATACATTATATTCCATTATCTAGCCTTGGCCTTCCTATGTAGTTAAACAACAACAACTGCAACAAAACTGCCACAGATCAAACCTTTGATCTAGTATAAGATCTTTTGTATAAGAGCAATATATTTTGATCTAGTATAAGAGCAATAAAGACAAAGAAACATCCATAAAAACCTCCATTCTTTACACTAGAAGCCATGAAAACCACTGTTCAAGAGCAGGTACACTGGGCTTGGCTTTGTATTTATGTAGATCTTATTTATCTACCTTCAAAGGTTTAAAAAAAACAACAAACAAATGCATACTCATCAATTATCATTTGCTGAAACATTAAAACTGGACGGAGTTAGTTGTGTTTACTCATCACTGTCAACATCCCTAACGTCTGGCTAAGAAGCCTGTTCAAGACCACATAATTTATAAACGCCAAAGAACAGCATCACTACAAATTCTACCATGAGACTACAAGGCTTCTAAGCGCAGTAACTGACTCTAGCTTGGTTCATGCCAGGGCTTTCCTACTACAGGCAACAGGTTCTGAGGACCAGTGTTATCAAGGGTGTTTGCGTGGCACCAACTGCTGGCCATAGGTAAGTACAGCATAGTGCTTTACAGTGATTAAAATTTTTTGGTTCAGACCAGTGACTCACTGTAATGAACACTTTGTGGGTGAGGCTGACTGGACAAAAGGGAATACTGCATGACACACCACAGCTCCCGATGCCACTGGGAGGAAAAAAGAGGTGCTGGAAGACAGAGGGAGATGGGTGGTTTTTTTGTTGTTGTTTCATTTATAATCAATGGGGGGGGGATGCTACAGGGTGAGGGATGGATAAGGAGGGACTGGGAGATGAGCAGGACTGGAATGTATGATGTGAAATTCCCAAAGAATAAAATAAGAATTATGTTTAAGAAATTTTTTTTTTTGGTTCAGGAAGTAGTGGTGCATTCCTTTAATCCCAGCACTGGGAAGGCAGATGCAGGTGAATCTCTGAGTTTGAGGCCAGCCTAGTCTACAGAGCAAGTACAATCAGAAAAACCCTATCTCAGAAAAAAAAAAAAATTAACAGCAACATCATCAAAACCAAGCAAGGGGCCTATTTAATTTTTATTATTAGACATTCAATTATTTCTAAAATATTTCACCAAAAGACACAGTTATGATGCCCTCTTTATTTAAATATAAAACGGCTTTATTTCCTAACAAGACATATGACTGCCTTTGTTTGGGGGGACCTAAATGTCCAAAACTGAGTCTGCCTACCTGAGTGATACCATGTTTCCGAGTTCTGCCGGTAAACTCTGGATTTGGTTATGGGACAGGTCCAGATATAGCAGATTGTGAAGCTTGGCAATGTCTGAAGGAATACAGGACAGGGAATTGTCACTCAGATGCAAAGCTGTCAAGTGAGTTAGTGACCACAAAGATGAGCTTAAGCTTCTTACTTTTCCTGCAAGACAGAAAAAAAAGGGGGAAAGGATTAAATAGTGATCTCCAAAATTTGGCCCATGTATTAAATAAAATTCAGTCGTTGCAATTAGGTACTTAACTTACTTTTTTAAAAAGTTTGAGAAAGCTTAACAAGGAAAATTTTAATCTATTTTAGAACAATTTACTGCATGCGCTGAACAATTTAATTAGCAGAAGGAAACTAAAATTTAAACTTTTAAAGTGAAGTGTCAATACTTGAAGGTACCTTTATTTTAAGAGAACACTGCAAAGAATTAATCCTTTAAATGACTTCAGATATGATAAACAAAACATCAATAATTCACAGCAATGCTAAAATGCTAAATCTAGAATTTGGATACTACAAAATATAAGACAAAATCAAATACTAATGCCTGAAAAACTATTCATTCTATACACCAAAAAATAGGAATTCTGCTCCCCTAAAGGAAGCAAAGGTATTCTCAAATTAGTTGACATTAGAGTCAAATTACTCAGTGATAACCACATCATATATAAAAAAAATCTGTATCACGTGGGCCCTTTTTAAAAAATATTTATTTATTTATTATGTATACAATATTCTGTCTGCGTGTATGCCTGCAGGCCAGAAGAGGGCACCAGACCTCATTACAGACGGTTGTGAGCCACCATGTGGTTGCTGGGAATTGAACTCAGGACCTTAGGGAGAGCAGGCAATACTCTTAACCTCTGAGCCATCTCTCCAGCCCATGTGGGACCTTCTTAGGCAGTACTGGATGTGGTGCTGTGAACCTTTAATTCTAGCACTAGAGAGTCAAAGGCAAGCAGATCTCTGGGAGTTCCAGGCTAGCCTGGTCAGTGAGATCTTGTCTCAAAAAACAAAACACACAAGAGAGAAGAAAATCTATACTGCTAATGCACAAGTGAAAATATCTACCCAAAAGAGAGCATATCCAAATTAACAACATCAGAAATGAAAAGTGGAACATAACAACTGACACGGAGGATGAAATACAGAGAATCATTAGGTCCTATTTAAAATACCTGTATTCCACAAAATTGGAAAACTTCAAGGAAATGGACAAATTTCTGGATAAATGTCAATTACCAAAATTAAATCAAGACCAGATAAGCAAATTAAAAGAAATAGAAACAGTCATCAAAAGTCTCCCAACTAAAAAAAGCCCAGGATCAGATGGTTTCAGAGCAGAGTTCTACAAGATTTTCAAAGAGCTAATACCAATACTTCTCAAATGGTTCCACACAAAGAAACAGAAGGAACACTGCCAATCTCTTTTTATGAGACTATAATCGTACCCTGATACAAAAACCACATAAAGACGTTACTAAGAAAGAGAATTAATTACAGGCCAATCTCACTCATGAACATTGATGCAAAAATACTTAATAAAATACTGGCAAATCAAATCCAAGAACACATCAAAAAAAATCATCCATCATGATCAAGTCGGCTTCATCCCAGAGATGCAGGGATGGTTCAACATCAACGTAATCCACCATATAAAAAACTGAAAAATAAAAACCGCATGATCATCTTATTAGATGCCTTTGACAAAATACACCATCCCTTCATAATAAAGGTCTTGGAGAAAGCAAGGATACAAGGAACATACCCAAACATAATAAAGACAATAAATAGCAAGTCAACAGCCAACATCAAACTAAATGGAGAGAAATTCAAAGCTATCCCACTAAAATCAGGAACAAGACAAGGTGGTCTACTCTCTCCATATCTATTCAATATAGTTCTTGAGGTTCTAGCTAGGGTAATAAGACAACAAAAGGAGATCAAGGGCATACAAATTAGAAAAGAAAGAGTCAAATTCTCACTATTTCCTGATATGATAGTTTACATAAGTGATCCCAAAAATTCTACCGAGAAATAACTCATACACACTTTCGGTAATGTAGCAGGATACAAGATTAACGCAAAAAAAAAAAAAATCAGTAGCCCCCTTTACACAGATGATAAACTGGCTGAGAAAGAAATCAGAGAAACACCACTCTTCACAATAGCTACAAATAGCATAAAATATCTGAGTAACTCTAACCAAACAACTGGAAGACCTGTATGACAAGAACTTTAAATCTTTGAAAAAAGAAATTGAAAAGGTGGAATTAATATAGTAAAAATGGCAATCTTACCAAAAGCAATCTATAGATTCAATGCAATGCCCATCAAAATTCTTCACAGACCTCTAAAGAACAGTACTCAACTTCATATGAAAGGGCAAAAAATTCAGCCAAAATAATCCTGTACAATAAAGGAACCTCTGGGGGTATCACCATCCCTGTCTTCAAACTCCACTACAAAGCTACAGTACTGAAAGCAGTCTAGTATTGGCATAAAAACAGACAGGAGGACCAATGGAACTGAATCGAAAACCCAGATATTAATCCACACACTTACAACCACCTGATTTTTGAAAAAGCAAAAAATATAAAATGGAAAAAAGAAAGCATATTCAACCAATGGTGCTGGCATAACTGGCTACCAACATGTAGAAGAAAGAAAACAGACCCATATCTATCACCATAAAAGACCTGGATAAATCCAGATCCCCCTAACAGGAAAATAGAGCCAAAAATCTAGCAGGAAGAGAAGAATCAGAAATCTAGGATTAGCCAGTTCCAGGGTTCCAGGAACTAGCTGAAGATAAAGGTAGATTGTAATCTTGAGAGTAATCTTGAGAGACAGAGAGATTCCCCCTAGTAATTATCACCCCCTAGTAATTCTGATTAATGATCTTGAGAGGCAGGGAGTTGCCCCTTTGAATTTGAAAATTCATCACTGGAATTTTCGGAATTTTCTGTGACACCCTCCCTGCCCCCCTTTCGGATTACTGGGCTGTGTGGTTTCTTCCTATAAAAACTACTTTTCCCGGTCACTCGAGGTCGAACTCTACCCCTGCGTGGGTTATGAGTCTCGGCCCCAGTGCACTGGTCCCCATCTTGTCGTCTTGTCAATAAACCTCGTGTGATTGCAGCAAGGACGGTCTCTCGTGAGTTACTGGGGGGGGTTCGCGTCTTCCCGAGGCTCGAGTGAGAGTTTCCCCAAATCGGGGGTCTTTCAACCACACACAAAACTCATGTCCAAATGAATCAAAGACCTCAACATAAAGCCAACCACACTGAACCTCACAGAAGAAAAAGTGTGAAGTAGAGTTAAACACATAGGCACAGGAGACCACTTCCTAAATATAACCCCATTAGCACAGACCCTGAGAGAAACAATTAATAAATGGAACCTCTCGAAACTGAAAAGCTTCTGTAAAGCAAAAGACACAGTCAATAAGACAAAATGGCAGCCTACAAAATGGGAAAAGATCTTCACCAACCCCACATCAGACAGAGGGCTGATCTCCAAAATATGCAAAGAACTCAAGAAATTGGTCATCAAAAGAATAAATAATCCAGTTTAAAAAACAAACAAACAAACAAACAAACAAACAAACAGGATACAGACCTAAACAGAGAACTCTCAACAGACAAATCTAAAATGGCTGAAAGACACTTAAGGAAATGTTCAACATCCTTAGCCATCAGAGAAATGCATATGAAAATAACTCTGAGATTTCATATTACAGCTGTAAGAATGGTCAAAATCAAAAACACCAATGACAACTTATGCTGGAGAGGTTGAGGGGTAAAGGAAACACTCCTGCATTGCTGGTAAGAGTGTTAACTGGTGTAGGATTTCTTTCTGTTTGTGTGTTGCTTTCATTGGATAATGAATAAAGAAACTGCCTTGGCCTAGTTGATAGGACAGAACTTAGGTAGGCAGAATAGACATAACTGAATGCTGGGAAGAAGGGCAGAGTGAGAGAGACGCCATGAATCTCCTGCCTGAGACTGATGCTGGTTAGAATCTTGCCAGTAAGCCACAGTCATGTGGCAATACATAGAGTAATAGAAATGGGTTAAATTAAGATATAAGAATTAGCCAATAAGAAGTTAGAGCTAATGGGCCAGGCAATGTTTAAATGAATACAGTTTCTGTGTGATTATTTCGGGTGTAAGCTAGTCGGGCAGCCAGGACAAGCAGCCCTCTCCTCCTGTTACAGCTAACTGGTACAGTTCCTTTAGGTATCAGTATGGCGATTTCTCAGAAAATTAGGAAACAACCTTCCTCAAGACCCAGCAATACCACTTTTGGGTCTATACCCAATGGATGATCAATCGTACCACAAGAACATATGCTCAACTATGTTCATAGCAGCAGTATTTGCCACAGCCAGAACCTGTAGGTCCATATTTCTACATGGTGTGACAGCCGAGTTTTCCAGCCATGGTTAGTATCCTGAGCAGACAGGCTGTCCCTACCCTAACAAAAGCTCAGGATATGCTACTACTCCTTTTCTTTTGTAATTATGTAGATTGACTGAGAAGAGGTGTTAATTCCAAGGTAGTGACAGAGCTGTGGATGCTACTGTAGTCCTGCTACCTTGGAAACAGAATGTTAATGAAGTTCCACTTTAGTTTACCTGGGGAGGGGGGGAGAAAGGTGTTTGGATAATAAAGGCAGGTCATCTTCAGGATTTGAATGAGCCCGACTCCCTTCTGAAATTGCTGTGTGAACTGTGTTTCCATGCCGGTCCAGAGAGGGAAAAATAGTTTATCTTGGGGCCTCAGACCCCGACAAGAACCTGGAAACAATCTAAATGTCCCTCGACCGAAGAATGGATAAGGAAAATATGGTACATTTACACAATGGAGTACTACACAGCAGAAAAAAATGCCGTCTTGAGATTTGCAGGCAAATGGATAGAGCTAGAAAACATCATATTGAGTAAGGTAACCCAGACCCAGAAAGACAAATATCATATGTACTCACTCATAAGTGGCTTTCAGACATAAAGCAAAGAAAACCAGCCTATAATTCACAATCCTAGAAAACCCAGATAATAATGAGGACCCTAAGAGAAACATATATGGCTCTAATCTACATGGGAAGTAGAAAAAGACAAGATCTCCTGAGTAAACTTGGAGCATGGGGAT